GGGCGGGCCTCGGGCCCCCCCGGGCCCCCCCCCACCGCTACGGCTGCCGCCCACGCGGCCCGAGGTCTGGGCGCCCCGCCCCCAGCTCCCCTCGAGAGCCGGGAGGGGTGACTGGCGTGAGGACCGGTGATGCTCCCAACGCCGGCAGGCGCTGCGGCCCCCGTGCGCGACCCTGCCAGGCTTTGCTCCCTTCTGCCCCAACTTCCCGGCAGCCCAGGGAACGGCCGGTGGAAGGACGGAGGACGAGGGCTTGCTAGGGCAAAGGCAGTGAGGCAGGAGGGCAGCTGGGGAGACCAGGGGTGCCGCCAGCCCGGACCTGGCTCCGCCAGAGCTGGGCTGCACTGATGCCCAGCAGGGCGACCTCAAGGTTTATGGAGGACTGATGGGAAGACCCGTGGCTAAAGAGTGGACAAAGGTTCCAAGAGTCAGGGTGGAGGCTACAAAGCTGGACAGAAGGACACACACACACACACACACACACACACACACACACCCGTCCGCTTACAACGACCAGACAGGCAGGACAGGAGGCCTGATAGAGGGAAGGGTGAACTACAGGAGGGTCAGGACAAGGACCTGAGAGGGGTGAGAGGGCTCAGGGCGTGGGGATTGGCCATCGGGATCCAGAGGAAGGCAGTGGGCGTCCAATGGGAAGGGGAGGCCCCTGAGCAGGATTGGTGTCTGTTGTAGCTCTCCCACTGCTCTGGGCCAAACTCCAGGCCAGGGGAGGGGACATGGCCTGCTCTGCCCCTTGAGGGCCTGGCCCCACTCTGAGCACACGGGTGAGTGACACGGAGCAGCCAGAGCAGCAGCAAGTGCCCAGATGTGGCCTCTAACCCAGCTGCAACCCTTGGAGACATCAGATGACCAGCAGGGGTATCGCAGGCCCTCAGATACAGGTGGCCTGGCCGGAGGGGGGAGCACGGGGTGGGTCAGAGAAGATGTCGGCCACCTGGCCCAGAGGTGTTCTTCATGGGAAGTGCCCAACCCTGAACCTCTGGGTCCCAGTTTGGACCCCCTGTCCCTCCTCCATTGGGCCTGCCCCTGGGTCTGGCTCCAGGGCACCATAGGTCCACCACCACTGAAGCAAAGGGGCCACCCCTGATGTGGGGTGGCCGGAGGCTCACTAGCACACAGCTGTGGAGGTGGGTTCAGGGTGGCCTGCTGGCTCAGCTGGGCTGGGCACAGACCTCCACGGGGAGTGGCCCAGGCCTACCAGTGGGACATATCAGGACACAGCCAGAGCAGAGGTCTACAAAAGAGTTTATTTCCTCCCAGCCATGAGGGCACACCCTGTGGTGGTCTGTGTTCCAGCCTGTGGGTGCAGGGGAGTCCCAGCGCCTCCACAGAGGTGGTGCACCTGAACTAGCACCTGCTGACCCCCAAGCCCCGCCCGCTGTCCCTCCTTCTCGTGAGCTGGGTCTCAGCACAGTCCAGAACTGGCAGAGCAGAAAACCAGAATTTGACTCAGCACTGCCAGTTCTCAGGCCTCACCCCCAGTGGAGAGGCGCTGCTCCAGGGGTCAGAGATTAGCCCAGTTAGGCAGAGGTTCTGTCCAGAACATTCAGATGCTCCTCCAAGAACCACTGAGGTGGGTGTCCAGAGTGGAGGAACAGGCTTCAGGGAGGAGTCCGCAGAGTGAGGGTCTACTGGGCTATCCAAATGGGTGTTATGGGGTGCAAGCCAAGGCCGGGTGACCAGGACTCCTCCCAGGTGAAGGCACGAAGCCCCCAGTCAGGGACATTGGCACCCACTGCACCTTTGGGGCCCTGAGGTCTTCACAGGGCTGTCTCCTTCGAGGCCCTGACCCCCAGCTGCCTGGGAGGCTTGAAGCTGAGCACCTCTTTGTAAGTGACACCTAGGGAGGGGCGAGGGTGACAGTGGGGAATACAATCAGCCTGTGCTTTCACCTGGGATTTGGCCTGAGGACCCTGTGACCCTAAGGAACACAGTTTGAGAGCCTCAGCCCACCCAGCCCTTCCACCCCAGAGTGCTGGACAAAGGTCCCAGGCTGGAGGCAGAGCAGTGGGGCCTGGGACTTGGTGGCAGCCCCACCCGTCCCTGCTCATTCTCTCAGACAACCTGCCACAGGCCACCTTGCAGCTGCAGGAAGAGCAGAGACCGAGGCCTCGGAGCACAGCAGAGGACCTGGGACTGGAGGGCAAGGCGGCCCACAAAGACCAGGGGAGCTGGGGGGAGGACAGCCAGCAGAAGCCAGGGGGAGCAGAGCAGCTATGGGGCTGGGGCTAACTGCTCCCTGGACCAGAAGGGATGGTGAGGGTGGCAGGGAGGGCTGGCCATGCATTGTGCAGACGGCAGGGAGGGGTCCAGAAGTGGGGCAAGGAGAGGTGAGGACAAACACGGGTGAGTGGAAAGGCCTTGGAGGCAGGTGGGTGTGGAGGGGCTTCCAGGGTGGCCTGTCTCTTGGCTGGATGTAGGGTGGCAGGCTGGGGGCCAGGAGCAGCACACAGCTGCCTGGAGCTCAGAGCTGCCAGTGGGGTCCAGGCCGCCACAGTGCCAGCTTTGGGACCAGTCTCTGCCAGGAGTGCCTTTGCTCCTCTGCAGTGGGCCAAGCTGCACAGTCCAGCTGCCCTCTGACCTGCCTTCTTCCCACCTGGTGGCACCCTGGGGACAGGTGCTCGGGCACTCACACTTCCACTCGTCCAGGGTGCGGTCCACATCGTCAAAGGAGTCATCGTACTTCTGGGCCTTGGGGGCATCATCCGTGTCATGCAGGGACTCAAAGTAGGGGTGAGCCAGTGCCTCGGCCGCTGTCACCCGCTGCTCCGCGTCTAGCACCAGCATCTTCTCCAGGAGGCTGACCGCTGGGGGGATGGCACGTCAGAGCAGGACTTGGGAGGCCCCTCACAGCAGTACCTGGGCCCACCCAGTCCAGTCCTACCCAGTGGGCTTGCACTGGTCAGGATGGAGGCGAAATCCTTCTTCTCCAACTCAGGGAGGCCCTTCATGTAGTTCTTGGCCTGTGTGGGGCAGAGGGTGAGGGTAAGGACCAGCCCCAACCCGGGCCAGCCCCCGCCCCTCTGGCTCCCCACTGACGTCGGCACTCTGCAGTCTCTGCACAAACTCAGCAGGAGGTGTCCCCGTCACCTTCATGATCTCCTTCAGCTGGTCCAGGTCTGTGCTGAGGTCAGGAGCACAGCAAAAGGGCCAGAGGGCAGGGGCCCCACCCAGCACCCAGTGCCCCGTGCCCACATGCCCAGCCTTGGCAGGAGCTGGGTCCGTGCGCCCAGGGTTGCCATGCTCAGGATACGGTCACTGCCCTTGAACAGCGTCTTCCCTGTGATCATCTCAGCCATGATGCAGCCCACAGACCAGATGTCCACTGTGACAAGACCAGTCAGCGCTCCATGGGGGCAAGGCACTCCCTCAGGCTCCCACCCATCTCAGCAGCCACTCTGGGCAACAGCCGCCATGTGGCTCCCCATCAGGCAGTGGGGAGC